TACCGCAGAAAGAAATGGCTACCTACTGCAGGAAAAAAATCTGCCTCGTCAGTCATGCATTGAAAGATACATAATCGCCTAAGCGTGTATCCCGCATGGCACATAACTGACTGACTGAATTTCAGCATATTATAATGAATTTTACATTTTTATAAATTTATGAATAAGAAGTTTGTTTTCCTATTTATTTATTTATAAAATCATCATTATGCCTCTTAATTCCTTTGGGAACATGGAGCCGCAACAACACTTCTCCACCGGATACGGTTACGGGCGATCCTTTTCAGCTCGACCCATGTCGTGACGGCTGCCTTCACCTTTGCGTCTACACTTCTGTGCCTAGACCCAACCTAGGCCGAATGATTGATTCTGGAGCTAACAATTTATTCATTCATTCATTATGCCTCTTAATTACTTGAGGAACATAGTGCCACCACAACACCTTCTCCAACGGACGCGATTCCGGGTGATCCTCTTCAGCTTGCCACATGTTGTGCCTGCTGCCTACCCGAGGGATTTTCACCAGCACGCGTCATACACTCCACTTTGGAGGACTCTTACTCGGCCATATCGTTTGAAGATATCGTTGATGTTTCTGTAAAAAGCTAGATTTTAAGTGAGCAGTTTGTTAGCCTACTGCACAACCCCCAAACTGGGGGCCCAGGATGTGTTTTTTGTCTGGCTCCTACCACACAGACCTGTTGAGCATGGTTGGACATGCTAAGAGCAAAATCCCCCACCCACATAGCTCTGGTTGTCGTTGAAGCACGCAAGCTGTCCCGCCACGTCAAGGAGACAAACCATCAGCATGAAGTTTATAAAATGGTAAGTAATAAATATTGTATTGTAGTTGGTTGCCATATTTTTAAAATGTTACAAATTTATTAATAAAAAAAATATATTCATTTCCTTACGCAACGACCACTTCCGCAAGTCCGTCATTGCACAACGATGATGTCATCCAAGGTCGGCTGTGTCTGCATATATTCCGATTCGCTACGTTCAAAGGTTCGCCCGTGATCGAATTCAACAAAGAATAAAGACAAATGCTTTTGAGGACACTGATTGGGAAATAGCAAAAAATGCCATTTCTCACTTAAAGAGTAACGTCTTCTTTCGGCTTCGGTGAGGAAAACTGCTATCTTACTAACTAGTGCCCTATGGAGAAAGGGCCCTCACATTCACTGCCCGACTTCGGCTACTGCTGACACACTCACTGCTCTACCTTTCCTACTCTCTGACTGCCGGCCCCTTCGTCACTGATGCTGGTCACTTACCACTCATTATATGAAGACCGGCAGGGCTCCCACCGCCCCTATCCGTCCACCTTTTTTCCGGAAAAGGAGACCACCTATTCAGCTTTTGGGCGGTCAGTTTTCCAAAGGACTCTACTTTTATGATTATCTAAAATCACTTACAGAATTTTATGTTTGCCAATTCAAAGGCTGGCTGGAGACAGGTTTCCTGAAAACTCTGGTCATTAAATTGACTTAAAATGAAAAAGAATCTATCTATTTATCCCCTAAGGATGTGTGAGAAATTGTATTATTTCAATTATAATATGTTAAGTATTTATTAGTTAAACTTTTATAAGTGAAACAATATTATTCAGTAATTCAGTTGCGGTAAAAAAAAAATAATTATGGCATGAAAAACGGACCTATTTTAGATATTAATTTAAACAAGAGAAAAAGGACAAAATATTGTACTTAACCGTTTTCACTCCTCTCTTATACAAAAAAAACTCGATCGACGAAAAACAAAAGAAATTAACCGATGTAAAAAAAACACAGAATAAAAACGCCCGTAATAGACTAGGGTCTTATGTTTAAATGCAGATCATATTAAGACTAAGCAACCATCTTTTATTTTTAAAAAATATTCCCTCGAGACGCTGCCTCACAATGACTATTATTTAATAGGTGCGCTGCAATTGTGGATCTAGAAGCAATCAACTTGTGCGAATTATCTCCCAGCTGCCTTCTGATAAATGCCGGAATCTGCTGTGAAACTCTTCTCTCTAAAAGTTGAATTTTTCTGTCTATATATTCATTGTCGTACCGACATTTAAAAGAAATAATTGAACTATTTTTTTTAAAAGATAAGCAGGCTGCCATTACAAACAGATTTCAACGTCGGTCGAGACGGGAACATCACTCGTGGATAAGCAAAAAAGTAGCATTGCGAAATACTGGACGAGATATGCTTAGCAAAAATGGCGCCAGTCTCACAAATACAGGACAGTTTTGAACAGACAGGGCATTTTCCAAGGACAAAGTGTTTAGGCTTACGAAATTGTTTCAATCTTCGCACTTACACTTGATTGCCCAATGTCCAAAGGATAGCCAAGATCACAAAATATCTCCCTAATAAATTTTAATACTTGTTAAAAACTTATTGTGAGAACAGATCATAGGAGACCCATGGACTAAGGTTTTGGAAAAGTTGATCTTATACTTTCTGGGACAGAATGAGTCTCATTTATTAATAAACCTGAAGACCTGGGTTTGACCGTTGTAATAAATTTGGAATTACGACTTTGTGTAGAGATATGTAAAAAGTAGGGAAAAGTCGCTTTCCTGTTCAATAGTAACCTCCAGAGCAAGATACAGACTGTTCAATATTTTCTTTGAAAGATTTCTACTTCCAAATCATCATTAAAGACACAGAATGTTTCGTCTACATCTCGTAAATAACGGTTCGGTTGGCAAGTCAATGAATGTATTGTTCATGAAACTCCAAGAAAATATTTGCTTTACCAGGGTCAAGAGTGTTGCCCATTGCTATCCCATCAATTTGTCTATACATTATACCGTTGAAGAGCTAATCTTTACACAACACAAAATAAAAAAATTCGTAGACTACCGGCATATGTTTACATGCAGATCACATTAAGGCCAATCAATCATTCATTACATTATTTACTTTATTCAGTCTATTGTCCTTATCTTTGTCGCCATAATAATTTCAACGTTTCGGCCATTGTATGCTCCTGCCTTCTTCAGGTAGATGGAATGTCGAACTGAACTCTTTATTTCGCTCACTGGGGTAGACTGTTCTAGATCCACTGCCATGTTTAATGGGCATCACTTATCAGTTATCTCCTGATAATGCCCCTCTGAAAGTTCTCCACTGCCTTAACCGGGTATTAAAATCACACTCTTTTGGTCCTGTAACTGGATCTAACTAAGACCTTTATACACTGTGCCATGTGTCCTTGAAGACACCTGTGTATGAATATCTTCAGCGACCATTTTTTTACCAGTGTTCATATTGCAATTTTTTCTGTTATCTTTATCTGTTTTTACCAGAGCTCATATTGCATTTTTTTTTTCTTATTATCGCTTTTTTTTCTGGCACTCCCTGTTACTGGTTCCAATATTGTATTCATTTCTATGCTTGGTCGGCTCAGGAGATTTTTGTGGCCTAGCATATGTGCTGATTCTTTAAGTTTACGAATTTTCCAATGGTGCTCCTTGTCTATGATCTCAGCCTGATCCCACAGAGGGCGCTGATCTTCCTTTTCTCTCCATATGTGGTCAGCCATGCCTGATTTTTTACACATCCCCTCGTGTTACAGGTTTCTGGTGTTCTTGAAGCCTTACCTTAAGGGGGCGGCCCGTCTCCCCTTTATATTTTTTCCGCAGCAAAGAAGGCCGGAGCGTACAACGGCCGAAACGTTGTAATAAATATGGCGACAAAGATGAGGACAACAGTTTAAATAATGTAAACAATGTACATAATACCTCAAGTCAGAAATATAGACAAACAACCATCCATTATTTTTAAAATGTCTCCTCGATACGCTGCGGCACATTGACTATTATTTTTTAGGTGCCTTGCTATTGCGGATCCAGAAACAACCACGAATTATCTCTCAGCTGCCTTTTGATAAATGCCGGAAACGCTTCTCTCTAAAAGTTGAGTTACCCTGTTCAATAAAAAATTAATTAGCTCTACGGAAACAGTTTCCGAAATAACTGGTGAGAAAAAGGCAACTATGGCACCACGTATCAGCATAAAAATCTATAATTTCCTTAAGAGGAACACAAATAAATAGATTGCTGGTGTCAAACGAACACCGGAAGCTACTTTGAGAAGAGAAAGGACAGTTTTGAATATAATTTACAAACCAAAAAACCAAAAAAAAAAAAAACAAGAATAATGTATTTTGAATGCATGCCCAAGACTGGTTTGACATAACGGACATGTATTTGGCGAAGTTATGCTAGACAAATTCATTCATTGACAAGAAAGGACAAAGCGGGATATTATTCTGTTTGATCTTAGGCCACTCGTATAGCTTGGGGCGCAACGACCCTAACGGCCTAATGTCATAAATATCGGCCGGAAGCAATTTGTCTTTCAATAAATTGAAGAGACGTTTCTGAAAATTTAATTGAAAAGCTTTAACTTTTTCGCGCGTTTCTACCTGCCCCAATCTATTTTTTTTCATTCACAAAAAGATGACATTTTGTTCATGTAGTCGTATCGATTCAAAACTCCCACTCCAGACGCTTTATCTGGTTTAGTAATCGCAATAGATTCATTGTAAAGTAAAACTTTGAGCTCACGAAACAGCTCCCAATTTGAAAGAATGGCTTTGACAAATCCACCAAAATCCCTCGCATTCATTGTGAAGTAAACGATTTCAAACATTTGCACATAATCTTTTACTCGGATAAATCCAGATTTTTTCGGTACTTGATTGAAAAAAAAAGAAAGGTTTTTGGTGACATTGCCTGACACAGAGAATCTTTGGTTTCCGAAAAAGCAATGCCATGATGCAATGTCAAATTCTGTTTTCTCTGCACTGATGATCGTCGAATCAGGAATATTCCATATCACACATAACGTTTTGCCGCCATTCTAACTCCAAAAATATATTGTGAAAAATAGGAGAAAAAAAAAGAACTCTCGTATCACGAAGATGTCAAAATGTTATCCAACAACAAAAAGGTTCAAAGACAGGTAAAAAGAAGGAAGATTGTGAAGAAGACAACGACATGGAACAAGGAAGAAGAATGAACAGAAGGAAAATGAAAATGAGGAAACGCGTTGATCCAAGAAAGAGAAAGAGAATATGATAAAATAGGCGGGTGAATGAGAGATAGGGAAGGAGCTGAATAGAGAAAAGAAGTGGAAAAACAAGACGAAAAGAAAGGGAAAGTGAAAGGTGAAGAAAGGATAAGGCGAAGAAAGGATAAGGCGAAGAAATGAAAGGAAATATATAAAGAAAAGAAGAAAAAATGAAGAGAATTCAGGTGAAATGAAGGAAAAGAATGAAAACCAAAAATGCAGGTAGATAAAAAGGAAAATAAAAAATAAAAGAGTAAATGAAGAGAAAGAACAAAAATAAAGAAAAAGAAAGATACTACAGTGAAGAAAAAGACGAAAAAGAAAGGGGGAAAATAGAAAAGGAAGAAGTAAAGGAAATAGAAATGAGTCTTTAAGAAAGAGAAGGAAAATTTAGAACTAAAAAAAAGAATGAAGGAAAAACTGAAAAGAAATGAGAAAAGAAAAAAGAAGAAAGATAAATAGGAAAAAAGAAAAAAGGAAACTGAAAAAAAATGAAGACGCTGTTTAATTAAAGTTGGTATTCTCTGGGTGGGGGGAGGTACTGAAAACTTCTCGATCTGACCCATTTTCAAACATTTAAGCGAATGACTAAACAGCAGTTGTTTATTCTTTCTTTTCAAAGACGTCTACGTTACCTATAAAAGCGATTGTAATTTTGATTTACACAAACTTCAGACCTGAAAAAATTCAGTCAATCTCATAAATCAAATCCTTTTTAGGGTGATTGATGATAAGATGAAAAAAGAAAGTTTCATATTTCTTGCTATCCAATAGAACAATATTTTTCATCAAGGCTTTTACATCTTTTTATCTCATGCGTAAATGAAAATCAATGTTGAAATGGGTCCAGGCTTCTTGATAATTATCACATTTTTGGTCACAGTTGTTGTAAAGATTGCAATTATTTGAGCGAAGAAGAAGAAAAAGAAGAAGAAGAAGAAGAAGGAGGGGGAGAAGAAGAAGGAGGAGGAGAAGAAGAAGGAGGAGCAGAAGGACGAATAAAAAGGAGGAGGACAAGGAAGAAGAAAAATGGCGAAGAATAAGGAGGAAGAACAAAAAGAAAAAGAAGGAGGAGGAAGACGAAGGACGAAGAGGAAGGAAGTATAAGATGAAGAAGAAGAACGAGGATGACGAAGAAGAAGAAGGAAGAAAGAGGAGGACGAAGAAAAAGGAGGACGAGGAAGAAGAAAAAGAGAAGAATAAGGAGGAAGAAGAAAAAGGGGAGGAGGAGGAAGACGAAGAAGAAGAAGATGAAGAAGAAGAACGAGGATAACGAAGAAGAAGAAGAAGAAGGAGAAAAAAGGAGGACGAAGAAAAAGGAGGACGAGGAAGAAGATAAATGGAGAAAAATAAGGAGGAAGAAGAAAAGAAAAAGTGGGAGGAGGACGAAGAAGAAGAAGGACAAAGAAGAAGGAGGAGTATGAGAAGGATGAAGAAAAAGGAGGAGGACGAGGAAGAATAAAAATGTAGAAGAATAAAGAGCAAGAACAAGAAGAAAAGAAGAAAAAGGAGGAGGAGGACGAAGAAGAAGGAAGAATAAGATGAAGAGGAGGAAGGAGGATGACGAAGAAGAAGAAGAAGAAGAACGAGGAATAAGAAGAAGGATGACGAATAAGAAGAAAAAAGAGGACGAGGACGAAGAAGAACAAGAAGAATATAGAGGTTGCGAAGAAGAAGAAGAAGAAAGAAGAAGAAGAAGAAGCAGAAGAAGAAGAAGAACGGCAGCAGTTAAGAGAAAGAGAAACAATTAACTATTAAATAAAATTTGAAATAAAGAAGAAAGAAAATAAAGAAAGTTGATGAAGAAGACGATAAAGATAAAAAAAGAAAGGATTATAATAAATTGAAGAAAAGCAAAAAGAATAGAAGACCGTAAGATGAAGAAGAAAGTGATGAGGAAGTTAATGAATAAAAAATAAAGCAAAGAAAACGACGTATTATGAAGAAATTTATAATGAATGAAAATATAGAATAACCTAAAAAAAATTAATAAAATAGAGAGAACAGAAAAGGGAAACACTTTTTAGGAAGAGTAACAAAACACAAACCAAATGAGTGGTTTTAAAAAAAAATGAGAAAAAATTGTGTTGGAATGTGTCACGAAAAAAAGAAATGATTTCGTCTCTTTCTCTCCTGCTGTCGTAGCGACGGACACAGTCTCCACTTCTGAGACTGAAAAAACACTGCCCTCCTTCTCATTCCAGCCCTTTACATAGAGCTTGGTAACTCACCTATGCAAAACACCAACAAGCCAGCTACCAATCACAGTTCCCGCGCCTGCCCACCTCCACTCACTTTGGGGGTGTCAAGTTGACCGACCCACTCATTACACGCCCCCCCTGGTCTTAAGATCACAAAGCTTCTCAGTTCGAGAGATGGTCGTATCCGTCTGGTGACTGCGTCCGCATATATACAACTTGCACGCTTGACATATTGGGATAACCACACATGCGCGAACTCGTTTGCTCCGAGGTGGCAGAATTACAAATTCATCCCGTGTCTTGCTGTCATGCTCGCACACCGTGCAACACGGGGTAGGCCTCTTCTGCCGAGCACTCCTTCTGAGCGGGATGACAGGGTCTTCATCCTTGGATGAACTCTCATCTGTTGAGCTACCATCCGCCTCTGGACAGCTGGCCACGTTGACGTCCGCAGGTAGAGTACTGATGTTTGAGGTAGAACTCAGTGGATCCGACTTTAAATACACCACTCGCGCACCATCTTCAGAGTTACTTTCATCATCTGATGGCGGTTTTAACCCTACAACTGGCCGTAAGTCTTTAACAAGACGAGGCACGCCATCAACCCGCACTGACTGCGGGCTAATAATCTTGGTAACATGCCCCATTCAAAGCTTATCCGTACACTTTCTGTGCGGGGTCTTAACCCACACTAAGTCACCAATTCTGTATTTAGCTAGCGCGTCGCTCGGGGCGATTGCAATGCCAATGCCTCGCAGCCGTAAGTGATAGGCGTGCACCATGTTAGCCGGTTCTGTTTTAGGCGAAACACCGTCTTTAGGCGTCGCATTATACAATAGACTGCTTCGGGGATCGAACATCGCTTCCTGGCTGCAATCACTTTTCTGTTCTTTGCTCAGCTGCCTATACACAGCAAGGGAACCGCCTTTGAATCGCATTGGAAGAATCCGCTCAATCTTCGTGATCTCGCATAATTCGCAGACCAGTTCCACCTTTTCGGTCCATTCAACCACAGACTGTCCACTCGTAATACCACTGAATTCGGGGATCAGTTTTATGTCGAACGGTCTTTCCGCCATCTTGCTAGAGACAAAGTAAATGCCGAAATATCTTGTGTTGGAATGTGTCACGAAAAAATAAATGATTTCGTCTCTTTCTCTCCTGCTGTCGTAGCGACGGACACAGTCTCCACTTCTGAGACTGAAAAAACACTGCCCTCCTTCTCATTCCAGCCCTTTACATAGAGCTTGGTAACTCACCTATGCAAAACACCAACAAGCAAGCTACCAATCACAGTTCCCGCGCCTGCCCACCTCCACTCACTTTGGGGGTGTCAAGTTGACCGACCAACTCATTACAAAAACATACAAAACCGTACAAGAAAAGATAAAAAGAAACAGCGGACAAAAGTTTTCTATTAGCGTAGTAATACCGTAAATCGTTTAGTGTGTACAATAACTAAATGTAATCCTCCGCCCAAAATAAAAAAAATCCCTTGTCTGAGATGAGCTTTCCTCATTTAAATGAAAAACAAGCATCATGACAAAGTTACAACGAGGAGCGTCACACTTGTGTTCACACTTCTGATCGCAACTGCAAAGTTGAAACTTAATTTTGCGCAAGCAGACAGACAATCAGAAAAGAATCCAGCTGGTGATGAGCCCGAGGCGACTTCAGTTCTCTGGTAGAATAAACGGGCGGCGTACTACGAGATGTTGACTGATGGACATCTATATGCATGAAGAAGATTTTATCACGCGAAACATTAATTGACAAAGGAACGAGAAAGAAAAGTGTGAAAAAAAACTTGGAGACCAAGAAAAATAGCAAGCGTTAAAAAGCGGTAAAGTTATCGTCTGAAAATGATACTCAAAGGTAGGGGATTTTAAAACAGAAAATTATCTCAGATCAAAGAAAACGGAAAATCGCGCTTAAAGTGAAATGACTTCCTTTTTTTTTAATTCCGTAAAGAAAAAAATAGATGCTAGCTACTCAAAATGATATTTTGTTGAATTATATATATATATATATATATATATATATATATATATATATATATATATATGTCATTCATAGACAGTACTGTTTCGCTGTATTACAGCTTCTCAGCGCGATTAGATGTCCGAAAGCCTCAATTAATTTTAAGAGCTTAATTATGTCATTCACAGACAGTACAGGATATATATATATATGTATATATATATATATATATATATATATATATATATATATATATATATATGTAAATTTAGTAAATTTATATATATATATATATATATATATATATATATATATATATAAATATATTCAATAGTATGGATATTAGTTTGTGACTTTGCGATCATGAGACAAATTTTGTCTCATGATGGCAAAAGCTTGAAAAACAGGGTCACAAACTAATATCTATGCTACTGAATATGTTAGCTCTATCACAGACATTGAGCAACTTCAAGAAGTACTGCATATAACATATATATATATATATATATATATATATATATATATATATATATATATATATATATATATATATATATCCACTAATAACCGCGCATACATACATAAATACATACACACACGCACATACATATATATATATATATATATATATATATATATATATATATATACAATAAAATCCCAAATCACCTCATATTCCCCATATCATGTGATTTTGTATTTTATTGGGAATTAATAGTTTTCTCCGTAATAATAAATACATTAAACTCTTTTTGTGGACCAGTTTTAATATTGTATATTACTAGGATCCCTTGATAGTATATCTACGGATTTATTACCTTTACTATATATATATATATATATATATATATATATATATATATATATATATATATATTCTGTTTATATGTTATTTTTATTGATACAATTTATTTAAGTAAATGCTGTTTTTTAATTAAACAGTAATTGTTACATATACCGGTCTGAAATTTCGGAGAAAATATGTTCCCCAACAGGAATCGAAAGTGTGTCCTATACAGAAGCATCATTGGATCTGACGTGCTATATCACTTAGCTCTTGAAAAGCGACTGGGTAGCAAAGTCCAAGTTAATGTCTATAAACAACAAATCTCCGACGATATTTCCCGAACGATAATATCTGCTCACAAAACGTACCTTAACGTAAATAATGACAACATATTATGAAATGGATTAAGTCCGACAATTATTTAATATATTTTCTGTTTATATGTTATTTTTACATTTACCGGCCTGAATGACACGTCTCTATAGATAAGTCATATATCAAATGATGGTGTCGTATAGGGCATATGGTCGATTAGTGTTGGAGATTACTTTATACCTTTTATTACGTTTCTTAAATTAAAGAAACAGTAATATTTAAAACAAATTAAAAAAATAAATCACGACCATCATCATCATCATTATAATTATCCTCATGAGGTTTGTTTCGAAGTCCGTTATTTTTCATCCTCAGCAATCTTGTAAACATCTATAATTAGTCTTATCCAAAAGTCACCATCTTGTCTGCTAACTCTGGAATGTCCTGTTGGTCTTCTTTTAAAAAGTATTTAGTAAAAAAGTATTTTATTGAGTTTGTTTTTAATGGTTGTTCGAGGTATTTACCATTCTTCTCTCCATTTTAAAAAAGAGACAGATAAAACCTTTAGATCAGATAGTGAGGAAGGAAGGCTTGGAAAATATGATACTCACACGACAGACTGAAGAAAAGTGGGACAAAAATAACGCACAATCTAACTAGAGAGCATGAATAAATGGCTGGCGAAATAAGTTTTAGAGAAGATAACAAAAGGAGACAATTTATTAAAAGCTGCACAGGACAGGAAATTGTGGAGAGCCATGATCAGCAGTGTCCTGAAAATAGACGGGACATAATAGAAGATCTGAGGATTTGATGAAATTAATGCTGTAGGTTTTATTGAGTCATATTTGAAGATTGTTGCCTTCGCCTGAAAGCCTTTATATTCTTTTCTGTTTATCTTGAACTGTAAAACTGATATCCTATCTGAGACATCAAAATGTCTATGGATGTTATTCTTCCATCTGCTATTGATGACAAAACCATTTCCATAATATTTACTGTTTCCAAATCTATTATCTTATGATGTTTAACTCAAGTCCTTTATATATTTTTTGTTTCGTGGAGAAAACATCATTATTATCGCTTTCAACGTCCCGAGACAATATTTCCTCTTTCGTTTATTTCAATGTGTGAACACAAGAAAAATTAAATAAAGAGACTTAACCCTAGTACCCTGTCAGTCGTTTTTAATGAAACATGCATATGCACACACACACACACACACACACACACACATATATATATATATATATATATATATATATATATATAAATATATATATATAAATATGACAGTATGTATTTTAGAGAAAAAATCAAAACCGTAAGTAGAACCAACGGACGACTTACCAAAAGAACTAAATACCTTAAAACAAGATAAAATCTTGGACAAGGACAGCAATAAGTAAAAGAAAAGGACCTAAAGGCAAATACTTACCTACTCAGTAAAGTGCTCAAAGCCTAGATTACCTAGACAGAGCAGAAATGCTTGACAATTCCTATAAAAGGATGGCCCTAGTCGTAAATCGAGTTTCACATTCACGCTATCTTCAGGCATTTTCCCTGTTTTTCCCTGTTTTCGAACGTAGGGACTATTATAAATGGATTGAATAAGAAAAAACTAGGAATGATCCACGTAGTAATCCTCCTACTTGTAATTGTAGAAACAAAAACATCTGTCCATTACAGGGAAAATGCCAGCAGGAATGCGTGGTATATCAAGTGAAAATTTACAAAAATACTGAGGATACTAATCCTAAAACATACATAGGTGCTACTCAGGATAAATTTAAAAAAAGATATTATAACCACACGAGTAGTTTTAAGAATGCAAAAATTAAA